TCCCTGGCATCCTGGCTTGGGGGCAGGAGCCTGACCCGCCCCCTGACCTTTCCCTTCCCTTCTCCATCAGCTTCAGCAGTCTGGCACAAGGAGACCCTCCTCTGAGGCCCAATTCCTGGGCCTACCCTGCGCCACCCTGCTGCGGGCCCACCCCAGCACACAGAGAAAGCAGAGGGGAATGCGGGCAGGGAGGAAGGAAGGGGGTGCCCCTTTGACCTGGTCTGGAAGGCAGGGTGGCAGGCAGGAGGCGGGCGAGTGGGTGGGGTGGTGGTCCCGGGGTGAGCAGCCCCTGCTCGGCTCCCCCGCGGGCTGGGGCTGCCGGCCTCCGGCCTCCGGTGGCAGAGCAAGTCCTAGTTTGGAGAGCTGCTCACTGCGGCCGGCAGCGGCGGCTGCCTCTGCTCCCTCCCCCACCTCCCCCAGCCTGAGAGCCGTTATGAAAATAACCCTATTGGTAACTGCACTTCCTCTCCCAGTGATGGCTCCAGGCCCTGCAGCCGGTGGCAGCTGGAGGGCGGGCACACAGGGCTCCGTTCCCAAAGTCCCCGGAGCCTCCCCTCCGCCTGGGCCCTATTCCAGCCCAGCCCGTGCCCGGCCACCTGCCACCTTCACACCCTCTGCATAGGTTCCTGTGGCCGCTGAGACAGCAGAGCGCGCGGGCTCAGCCGGACAAGCGCAGGGAGAGTTATCAGTGGGGCATTTCACAACTTCCCAGGTCCTTCTCCACAAACACGCTCACTCAACGCCTGCTTGGCTAGCAGGTGGATGAAGGCCTGGGACTGGCTAGGCTCTGTGGTGGCTGAACTGGGACCCCAAGTCATCAGCTCCACCAAGGGGGCCTTTCCATGCTGCCCGGCTCCTGCCAAGCTAAAGACTGCCACCCTCCAGCTCCCACTCCCGCCATGGCCCCCAGGGACGAGAGTGGCAGCTCCCAACTGGCCTCCGCTCCAGACCCCTTAGAAAGAGCAACACCCCAAAGCAGTCACTACTAGTTCATGGTCTTCAAAAGCACCACCAAGACCCCCGCAGAGGTTCAGTCTATGTGACTCACAGCTTGACCGGGTTGTGTTGCCAGGTGGGTGCCATCGAGGTGGTTCGGACCCGGGGCAACCCCACGGACAACAGAACCACATGGCACTGCCTGGCCTAGAGCTGTCCTCACTCCTTCCTGTGCTGCTGCCCTTGGTGCCTACCCACCTCTCAGAGGGTCTTCTTCCTCCCTCTTCGCTGACCCTCTATTTTATTAGACATTAAAACTGGAAACCGTTTTAATACATTTATGAGCTCATCTGAAACTGTGATCAACTGGTTGACCTTACAGATTAACCTCACTAACGGACGTTTACGAAAAACAAACGACATTTTCTTAGAGAAGGGAAACAGTGAGCAGGGGCATCGCTCTGCATTTCTGCCATCTCTTCCGTGCTGGGCTTCTCGGGCCGGCTGGACTCTCGGGTCCCTGTTGATCTGGTCGGGCACATAGGGAAAACTTGGCTTCGCCTGACGTGCAGTTGGAAATGGATGGACAGACTTGTGGCCTTTGCAGCTCGACATAGAGGCTCCTCGGAGCTACTCGTGTCAGAACAGGGTGGTTTCTGAAAGGGCACCGGTGAACTCTGGCCTGGCCCGTCTTGTATTGTGGATCTGTACTGTGTCCTGAGTGGACCTGCCAGGTGTTGGCACATGTCACTCTGCAACACCCCAGACCCCACCTGCTCCCCTCTTGCCCTCCTCACCGGGAAGGCATGCAAGCTGGGAAGGGGTTGGCAGGCTCCAGAAGGGGGCGGCGACTACAAGGTCCCTAAGAGCCACATTGCGGCACAAGCTTTGTCACAGGTGTATGCGGTGACGTGGGTGTGGACACAGGTGTGGGGTGGCGCATCCCACCCGAGAACGGGGCTCCGTGGAAACAAACACGACGGCGGCCTGGGTGCTCTGGCTGGAGACTGTGAGGACAGGAGCGCACATCCTGGGGCTGTGTGTGGTCTTGCAAAAGGTACAGTCCGCCCTGCGCTTTCTGGGGGAGCACCTGAACAAAGACTGCGAGGGCGCCTACCTACTGCGTCACGTGGGGCTTCAGGTCCTAGCATTGTGCCCACCCTGACTCTCCTGCCCACGGCCCCCCAAGATGGTGACAAAGACATACATTGCCTAAGGGTACCCTTGAGAAAGGGTTGGACCTCACCGCCCCCGCCCCGGGGGGGCCCTAAGGTCCTCCCCCAAGACAAAGGTTCCAAGTGAGGTCCACATGCCCATCATGACCAATGTGGCTGCAGCAGTGGCCACCGGCTCAGCCCGCTCCACTCGCATAAAGCCTTGGTTCTGAGCAGGCCAGT